AACCGCTCAGCGTCGAAGTGAGCGGACGGCTAGCTTTTTAGTGGCGAAGTTTAAGTCCACACAGCCATTGGCCGTCTCGATCTGTTTGGGTATGACACAAGTCGTTAGTGAGTATTACGTCAACAATCCATGTGTTATACACTGATATGGTTATTCTTCCATTATACATGAAAGAGACGGAAATGTTTCCTGTCTTTATTCAGTCAATAACTGTATGTTCTCCCGAGGCAGAGGTGCTTCCGTGGCGTATATAGCCTTACGGAACCACTGATCCTAAGGCTAAACGTGTTTGCCGCGGGATAGCTCTGCTGTGGGAGAATGTGAATGTGTAACTAATGGTTCCCGAGCCTTTTGGGTATTGAAATTCTTGAAGAGTTAATTCTACTCAATTCTAATTAATTAAGTGGCGAGGTATTTGGCATGTATCTGTCTGTGTCTTTCTGGCTGGGAAGACTGTGTACAGATACCTCACTTGTATCTGTTCAGTCACCAAGCAGATGTAAGGACCTGGCTCATTTTCAGTGTTTTACGCCTGTTTCTGGTAATACGATTCGCCTCCTCCTACTGCTCCAAGAAAGCGTGCAACATTGAAATGGCAATAGAAACGCATAAAACACCACCAACAAAATAACTCAGACCGATTCATCTGCTCCGTTCACTCCGAAGCTATTTTAATTGGCGAAGCTGAGCGGTGACACACTTCCGGGTTCCACAATGCCCCACATACGATTAACATGAAACTTTCACCCGACCACCAGCTGATACATCTCACTCCATTGTTGATCAAGTACTCAACGAAGAAGCTGTTTGGTCACTCGACATTTTTCGTCTCACTTTTCCTTTCCGTCCCCTGACTCACTCACTTCCTTTCCCCTGGTCAGACTCACTGATATATCAATGGGCCTTTCTCCTTGTCCTGGGCTAATCCCCTTTTCCTTATCACTTTCCTGGATTAAGCCTGAGTGACATGTATAGTCTAGCCTTCATCACGGACCTCACACCATCAGGATTTAGTCAACTTTTCAACTTTAAATCTTCGTTCTGTGCCAGTGAACTCCAAGCAGATAATCTATCGAGTATCGGTGTCGTCATGACATCGCGCCGTGCGCTATGTGCACGCTGATATGTACACAACAGAACAACAGGTGGTTAGACGCGTGGGTGGGTGGGGAATACCGCAAACATAGTTATCTCCAAGCAGATGTTAGAGTGGAAGATCGTAACGTTTTCGGATCGACTGCCTGACTTCTATTACATCTCAGGGTGGGTAAGAGAAGCCAGGCAATCAGAAAACGTTACGACATTCCACCCCAACTTCCCTCCCTTCTGCTCGGAGAACATACCAGTAGCAGCCCAGTCGTTCTGTACCGGTAATCTTCAGCTTCATGCAGATGTTTTACACCGTTCCATACGTCGGTAGCATTCTTCACTACTTATGAATGATTACGATGACTATTAATGATAACCTCCAATCAAATGTTCTGAATGGTAGATTGTAACATTTCCTGGTTGTCCTTGAATTCCGACATGCATGCTCATGCAGTCCGAAGATCCTAATACTCTAGGAAAACTGAACACTACAGACAAGGGGACCGTTACGATTACTGTATTCAAAACTCTAACATCTGCTTGGAGACTAAAATTCACATAAACACACAAATGCACAGATACGCTTTTGTGTCTAGAGATTAATAACTGCTGGAGGGCGATATGGCTAAAAGTTAAAACGGACAATTGAATCGATTGTTATCTTTTTACCTACCTGTAACGCAGCCTGGTAGAACCGTGCAGCGGAGACGACCTGCCCGTAGCATCGCCTGAACAACCGAGAAATCTCCTGAAAAATCCTGTCCGGCTTGACGTCGCGCAAGTCGCCGACGTCGCAGTCCAGCTGGGAGCTCTGGAAGTCCGCGGCGACGTTTAGCAGAGCCCGGCGTGTGATAGCGCCGTGAGACCAGTTGTCGTCCGAGTCCTGGTCTGTAGGGTTCAAGCTTATCCCGACCATCGGTATGAAACACCGCCCGCTCGGAGAGAACAACCCCAGGATAAACACGACCAACAACAGGAGGCAGAATGTTACAGAGCGGGCCATGTCTGTATTAGGGGTAACGAATGATCCAAAGCCGAAGAATTCCCGC